CCCGACCATCGACAAGGCATGGAAATACATTGCACGATTAGATGATACTATCGCGCTGGTGAACGGTGAGAAGTTCAACCCCGTGATGATGGAAGGCAAAATCAGATCGCACAAAGCTGTCACCGAGACTGTCATCTTTGGCTCGGGTCGTCCATACTTGGGCGCACTCATTGTTCCAAGTCCGGTGACAGAAGGCATGTCACAAGACCTCATCATCGACCAAATCTGGCCTGTCATCGAAGAGGCAAATGCGACGGCGGAGGCATACGCACTTCTCTCCCGTGATATGATTCACATACTACCACACGGCTGCGACTTTCCACGAACAGACAAAGGCAGCGTCATCAGGCAAGCCTTCTACAAACGGTTTGCTGCTGAAATCGACAACGCATATGACCTGGTCGCAACCGCGCATGGTGATCTTAAGGCATTCTCCGTTTCTGAGTTGGAGCTCTTTATCCGAGACACGCTCGAGAAGACGTCCCCGCAAGCCAAGGAGATCGAGCGTACAGCTGACTTCTTCTCTGTTGGTCTTGATTCGCTTCAATCAATCCAAGTCCGCACCGCAATCCTCAAGGTCGTAGATATTGGCAACAATAAGCTTGGCCAGAACGTGGTCTTCGACTACCCATCCATCGCGTCGCTCAGCACGCACCTCTATAACCTGCGAATAGGTCAAAAGGAGGAAGTGATCTCAGTTACTTCGAAGATGCAGGACCTCATTAACAAGTACAGTGACTTCACAATACCAGCGGTGCGACGAAACGTCGTGCTCACCGGAGCCACCGGCTCTCTCGGTGCTCATGTTCTCTTCCAGCTCGTGGCGAGGCCCGACATCCACACCGTTTATTGCTTGGTTCGAGCCAAAGACATCAAAGACGCATCGCATCGAGTACAAAAGTCTCTTATGCAGCGGAAGCTATACCAGTCACTCTCATTGACGGCTCGTCGGAAGATCTACGCTCTCCCCTCTGATCTATCCAATCCGCACCTTGGCCTCGACAGCGAAACACATCGGAGCGTCGCGCAAAACCTGTCCAGCGTGATCCACTGCGCATGGTCTGTAAACTTTAACCTCAACCTCTCAACTTTCGAGAAAGACTGCATATCAGGCGTGCGACACCTGCTTGATCTTTGCCTTGCGGTTCCATCCTCCAAGCCTGCGTCATTCGACTTTTGCTCCTCCGTCAGCACAGTCGCAAGATGCCCTGATATGCACACACCTGAAGTAGTCGCGGAGCTTGACTGGGCGCAAGGTATGGGGTATGCGCAAAGCAAGTGCGTGGCTGAGAACCTGTGTATGGCAGCTCCACAGATGACCGGCATCAAGGCTCGCATTCTACGCGTTGGTCAGATTGTAGCTGATACCGTTCATGGAGTCTGGAACGATACTGAAGCGATCCCGCTTATGATGCAATCAGCGCTCACCGTCGGTGCGCTGCCCAAGCTGCAAGAATCGCCCAGCTGGACACCCGTCGATGTCATCGCCAAAGCCGTGTCGGAGATTGCGTTGGGCTACGCTGAGAGTGGTGTTGCAAACGTCACAAACGCGAAGACATTCTCTTGGACCAACGATCTGCTTCCCGCACTGCGCGAGGCGGGCCTACAGTTCGACGAAGTTGAGCCGAAGGAGTGGATAAAGCGTCTGGCCGCGTCAAGCGATGACCCAGTTGCCAACCCGCCGAAGAAACTCCTCGAGTTCTTCGCTTCGAAATACGATAAAGACACATTCGCGCCATCACGTACCTACGATACCAGGGTAGCCACCTCCCTCTCGCCAGCTTTGGCCAACGCACCAGTGCTTGACGCATCCTTCGTGAAGACTTTTGTCGACCAGTTCCAAGCCAGCGGATGGCGAACCAGCAAGCCCGTAACCTCGAAACAAATTATCGTCCTCGCCGGCCCATGCGGTAGCGGCAAATCCACCGTCGCGAAACACCTGAGCGCGTCGTTGAACGCGCCATTCATCGAGGGCGACGATCTCCACACTCCCGACGCCGTGATGAAAATGGCCGCGAGCACGCCCCTCGACGACGCATTGCGCCTACCATGGCTCGACCGCCTCAAAGAACGCGCACTCTCCGCTGTCACCGAGTCCAGCAACGACAAAGTCTTCGTGTCTTGCTCTGCGCTGAAGCAAGCATACCGGGACCACTTCAGGGGACTTGAGCGAGAGAACGAGGGCGTGAAAGTTTTATTTGTGGATCTACAAGTCGAGGAAGCGGAGTTGGTGAGGAGGATGAGAGAGCGGGGTGGCCACTATATGAAGGAGCATATGGTGGAGAGTCAGGTGGCGATTAGGGAATTGCCGGGTGTGTGGGAGACGGATGTTTTGCCTGTTGATGCTGGGAAGTCGGTGGAACAGGTTGTGGAGGATGTTCAGGCGCTGTTGGCGATGGTATGAGAAGTTGTGGAGATTTGAGGTGCATCAGGCGCTGTTTGGCGCTTTGGAGGGCCCATCGGACAGCTTTTACCGCAGTGATATTTCCCTCAAGTTCGAATTACCAAATTTCAACTCAGGCCTGCGTTTTGTAACGTTACTTTCGAGATGCTCGAACATTATGTATCTTTTGAGAGATCATCCAACATCCGTGACCTCTTTGGCACCTTTTGACTGTGATTAGTCCTATCAGTCGCAACACATGGCGCTAGTTTATCTCTCGTGGTATTTCCTCGACGGTTAGCATGTCCTGTGCAAAGTTATCTTCAGACCATCCATGTCGCCTCAGAAAAGGTTGTGGTCGTCGGGCATCATTGAGCAGCGATATTGATTTACAAGTCTTGAATAGATTCCTTGCCCAACGTCCAAGCGCGTATCTGGTGATCTTCAAGTTCTAAAATGTCACGCAAATCCAATTTCCAGGTATAATTGGTGCGCACCTCGACCTCAGGTATCATTCGCGGGAACTCCGAAGCGTGAACCTGAGATTGAACACGGGTATATCTCAATCTGAATGCATCACACTCTGGTACTGTGGCAAACATGACATAGATAAAACTTCTTGCTCGAACTCCAGCAAACTCTCAAGGTTCTAATAGCACTGCCAAAACCGATCGATCAGCATCAACACCTACCATGGCCAAGAACACAATCCCCACTGCTTTCTCCCACGCCAACGACCTCGTACCCATCCTCAAAGAACTCGACACACAGGCCGACGTCGTGCTAGCCAGCATCTTCATGATCCAGAGCTTATATCAGCAACACGCAAAGTCGAGAGACACCACGCAACGAAGTAATCTTGCCGTGATCCTACGAGAGCACAGAAGAGCGCTAGAGGCCGATTTAGGAATCATAAAGCTCGATGCCGGTTTCATCACCGACGGGCAGCTGGAGACTTGGGTCAAGGCCGCGACTAACGAAGCGGAGAAGAAGGCGCGAGAAAAGCGACTCGATAGTTTGATGATGAAGATAGCGAATGTGGAGGAGGCGATGACGGAGTTGAGGGAGGGCATGATGGGCGATAAAGATTGCTTCTTGTGATTTATAACAGTTGGCGCGCTTTTCAGCTCGTGTACATCAAACTCTCAGCTCCGTTCTCTCTTTCGCAAAATGGCAGTCCCAGTTACTTTGCTCCGGCAACGGCGCAGTATTCGGGATGTTGCTACTTTCTCGGAACTCGACAATCTTACGCTGCCCCTCCTCTTCCTTAATAACAGCGAATGCGGCGTTGGTGAAGTACATGTCGCGTTTGGCGCGTGTCTGGAAACCGCCCGCCCAGCCGAGCATGTACACGAAGCCGCCTTTGTCACCATTTGAGTTTGGAATACCGAGAGTGTTGATGAAGCCGTGCTTGAATGGTGCAAACGCTTTGCCTAGGGTGGCGTTGAATGACTTGTACAATTGAAGTGAGCCGTCGTAGTCGTAATGTGTGTCATTGAATGTGAAACGAAGGTCCTTGGAGAATGCTTGTGCGTGGGTCTTTGGCCAGTCGGTGTTTGCTGGGAAGGGATAGAATGCTAACGTGACGATTAGCAAGTGCATGTAGGTAGGTGTCGAAGAGTCCGTTACCATTAATTTGGCATTCCAACCAGCTCCCGAGTTGAACACTGGCGTTTAAGGTGGAGGACTTTGCCAGCCAGCAAGGATCGCGCATGTCGTTGGCTGTGTTCACTGGGAGTCCTCCTTGTGTTTGCGGTACTAGTACTTTCTGTGGCGCCTCGATGAGATGTGCAGGAGAAGCGGCTACTATGCCAGAGAGGATGGCTAGGAATAATCAGTGTGCTGCATACAAATCAAGAGTGCGTGACTTCCTACCAAGATACGTAAGAGGATACATGAAGATCGTATGTGATCAATGCACTTCTATGAGTGTATGTTGTGGTGCGGCTGATCGCGCGCTCCTATTCTTGACGACTGCTGAAATGGTGACGATGCTCCGGTCGAGTAAGAGTGATCGCGCATCCAACCAGGAAGAACATCGCTCCTATATATGTTGACAGCCTTTTCAGCCCCAAGTTGTTCTGCCTTACGGGGCTGATGACGCTAATTTGGGTAGAAGGTTAGGACGAAAACAGACAATGCAGGTGGTGAGGCGCAGCAAGAGTGCTGACTGCGAACGCACGTTCCTTCAACATCATTGTCCAATCAGTTGCACGAAGTAGAGATGGTATATAGAAGGTGGAATACAATGTGAAGTAAATTGATGCGCTGCTGCTGAATCATTGGAAGCACACTTGAATGCGACTTCCAATTTAGGAATGGACGAGTCGTGCTATGCTTGATCATCGAGTTGAAATGCGACATCTTGGCGCGCGCAGTTGCGTCGCACTACGAGACTATTGCCTTGGAGTCATACCTAGGTCTGGTGATGGTGTTGCAGTTCGAAAGTCGATGATAGATAGTGCCGTCGCGTAAGGGACCCACTCAGACCCGCCCAACCTCACACAGAGCAAACTTTTCGCTGCACCGGCCACAAAAGACAATCGCGCAAAGGCAATTCTTTCCATGCTGTATATAATCCGTTGATTTCTAGAGTCTTCCATCAAAATGTACAACAGCCCGGCTGGCACAATCGGTAGCGCGTGAGACTCTTAATCTCAAGGTTGCGGGGTACGCTACAATACTTCCATCAGCGAATATCAACATACTAACAAGTTCCAGTTCGAATCCCGCGTTGGGCTAAGTATTTGGTTTTGCGTTCCTGCTCTTTATGCCCTTGGTATTTTTTTTGCTCGGTGTGGTGACACTCGTAGCCATCACGCTACGATCACACCGAAGCCTGACACCCACATCGATCTCCCAGGATATCTATAGTGTAGCTCAACACCTTTAATCGCCCTGTATTCAGAGGCATTCCTTTTTGCATAAAGCAAGGTTGTTGACGGCAGCGCTGCATGCTGCACAAACCAGATTGCCATACCACCCATGCAGCTTTCATCGCAGCATCCACGCGTGCGCACACTATCCTAATTGTGCATCCTAATTGTGCAAAGCTTCATCATCATGTATTGTGTTATCAACGGGTACGATAGGGTCCGTCCGCGACGTAATGCGTTGATTCTCCGCTGGAGTGTGAATAGAACGAGAGTTCATCGTCGTGCCACTCGTGGGCTCGTTCCGCAGGCCTACTTGACAACAGTAGTAGAGACGATGTTTGAGTTCCACTTCTAGAATGATGTTAGCGATAAACAGACAACCCGTGTACATGCTACCTACTGACGAAGAAGTCGAGTGTGTAGTAACACCCCGCCGGCTACTGCGACAAGTCTACGTTCCGGTCGCAAGCACGATAACGCAGTTCACGAGACTGCATGTCTTTACTTTAAGACAGGCTTAGTAAGGTCTGACATAGGTTACAATGGATAAGATGAGGCGGGTCATTGCGCTGCCTGTGTTGCTATGGTTTCATCGCGGTTGGGTTGCTGAGCAAAGCGCGCTAAAACGTGGCGCATTTTGTTGTGCTTGGCGGAACCATGTTATGGTACAACAGTCTATTATATTTCACTCTTTCCCCACCACTTCGTTCTTTGTTCTTCCTCACAATTTCTGTATCTTTTATACATGATCTGAACGCATATGTTTGTAGCCATGGCGCCTTCTTATCTCTTCTCTTACACTTCGCGCCTCGCAACTCTTTCTGGCCTTCCGTCGCCCTCTGTCTCTCTCACTTCTGCTTTCTCACGTCACCATTTTCTTTGCTTCCTTCTCATTTGTTACCTGAAAGAGTATTTCTGAAGTATTTCTGTCAGATGGTATGTTGCTTTCTATCTTCTGAATGTTGCAGAGACGCGACGTGGTGTGAGACGACTCGGAATCTCATGCTTCAAGCTTTTGGTGGCCAATGTTTGGCTCTCAAGGGGGTCCGGGAAGCCGCGGCACAGAGCATCACCCACCTATTTTGATTTCGGCAGACCGCAAGCACATCACCATCGTTCGACGCACTGCATCTTACTATTGTTGCACGCAACCCCTTCGAAGCTTCACATAGTCAGATCTTGGATTTGGAGCATTTCCACCAGGGCCACGTTTGCATAGCTTACGAACATGGCACGACCTTCCAGAGGTCGTCGCTTTTGAGACTTTTCAAGATCTTGCTGCCAACCACTCCTTGGGACGCCCATGATGTACCAACCAGACGTATTGCGACGATGCAGGTGTGGGTAGAAGAGCATGGAACGTAAGATGGCGGCGTGATGCAGGCCTTGCAAGCTGCTGAAGCCGCACCACGGAATTCACCTACAGCCTACAGCTACACCCAACAATCAGGCACCAACTGTCACGAACGTCTTACTCTATGCTTGGGGTTGTGCGAAGTAATGTGGGCGGCTCGCAACTCCGTTGCCACTGGGCGAGCTTTCAGTCGGTGCACGGGACGCTTTCGAGAGACAAGAGAATGTTAAAGGTTTAAAGTGTGTTCACGAAGTAAGCAATATGCGTGGAAAGCTGCGTTGCTCAAAAATTGGGGTGGCTGGGCGAATCACGACCACCAAGTCCGCGAGGCTCCTTAGTAAGGGGAGGCTGGTCGGCGGTTGCCCGGCGCACGCTTGAGTAAACACAGCTGGCCGGCGGGTGGGCGGTGCAGACGTAATGGCATGGTAGGAGCATGCTTCCATCCTCCAAGGATCCATCTCAAGGTAACGAACACCCCGAATTTTACGACTTCAGTCCCCGTTCGCTGGCGACTACTCCCCCCCTCCATTCTTACAGTGTAAGTAACTATTAACTTTTATGCATTCAAAGAAACTGGTCAGAAATGTGGTTCTGCGACGCACTGGAACATGCGGTAGAGGCGGTCAAGCAATGTCCAACTTCCATATCCTTAGTCCCCAAACCTCATGACTCGAGCAGGATATTTCCGAGATGCTAACAAGGTCAGCAAACACGTTAAACACTCGATAAGCCTGATAGTCGGTTCCGAAAGCGCTACTCACGCCTTTACCGCCAACTGGATTGCAACTTTAGCATGGCGCCTCTCTCGACGGATTCCAGCAGAGACGGTTGGGATTCGAACACCACCATCAATCTCATCACACTTATCTTTGCAATTCCTACAACTGTAGCCGCCCTTGCGAAGTTCTGGATTTGGCGCAAAGAGTGTCGCGTGAAAACTACAGGTTCGTAAAATCACAGCCTTGCTTGCAGTACATGTCAGTTTGTGGTACATTCCAGTTGGTTGTCCAGGAAACGGCCTGGTCAGGCCGATTGGGTCTAGCTTGAACACGTGTATGGTTGGGTCGGCCTTGGTTGCCATTGGTCAGGCCGCTGGTCGACTCTTGGCGTAGTTGGCTCAAGGAGGCTTGTGCTTCTCATAAATATGCCAACGTGCTAACATACCTCTTAGAATACGTTCAAAGCTTCATCGCCCTCTTCTCTTTGCGCAGACGCCAGGCATTCCGAACAAGGTCAGCAGACGAAACGTGGGCTCGAATAATAGACGGGCTTCTGCAACGATATCGCGAACTCGATGGCGAGGTGTCTTCGGAGCGCCAGCAATGGGCAGAAGAGATGGATTCGTTCTCACATGCCAGGTGACAATACGTCACAACGACACGTCAAGTGCTTCTTCTAAACCATGTACTCTACTCCCCGATGAATGTGTTCCTTTTTCATGGTTGTTGGGAGTTTTTTGCGGCGTTCATCTACATTTTCAGCAAGACTGGGCGGGGTCAAAATCTAATTCTGCGATTCGTTCAATGCGTTATCGTAACTGGCATTGCACCTTAATCTTGCATCTCGTACTAATTACTGCTCTAAATTTAACTATCATTCTTGTCACTTCATAAGCAGGGACGCCTGTTCAAAGGCGCGTTTAGTCCTACTACCTTTGCCTCAGGTACCGTACCAGTAGCGGCTTGGCTAGTGCGCGTGGTCCCTTCGCCGTCCCTACCAACCTAACAGGAATGCAACAACCCGCTCTACAAAAGGTTCGCAGCCGCATTGAGGTAAAGTCCATAAGCTTCTCCGCCATCACTCAATACTACTAATATCAGGTTGTGTCTCTCAGCGATCACGGGGCTGGCACACCCTGCCCTTCGACGACCGGAATTCCACCTGCTGCGCTCTTTCAACCCTTCCATCCGTTTGTGCGGTCGAAATACGAAGAACACGCGAGCAACACACCCGATTTCCAGACCTGTTGTTCTGTGCTATTCTCTCGATTCGATTTTCGCTTGTCCGACTTCATACAACGTTTCCGTTAGCAATTCCTTCCACTTTTGGTAACCGCTTTCCCTGGGGGCGCTGCCCATCTCTTCTTCGATCTCAGAAAATACGTGGACTTATTACAGCACACCCATTGTAACGACTAAGACAATATTGGTCAATATGCTAGGCTTCATAACATTGCCTGGATGAAGTTGAGATGCTCGAACCGCTGGGATATCTCGATACCCAGCTCATACAGATGGCACTTCCACACACGTGCATGGATGGGTACCAAGCCACTCGATAACACCACCTAGGCAACCCGGATGCTACTTTTGTCACGTGGAGAAGGCAACTTAACGATGCACGTCAGCGGTGGATAGTCGCGCCTCAGGCTCCCATTCGTCTTACATGGCCTGGCAAGGCTATGCCGCGGGCGAATCACACTTCAGCCAGCCAGCTACCACTCTGCCACGACTTAGTGGCGCCACAACATGAGCCTAAATTGTCCGAGCGCCAGCAAGTCAGCGCAAGTTGAATGCTGTCATCCTACCGTGCGGTCGCTTGGTATATGAAGAGACAAACTGCTTAACTTTTCCAACTTTCTACTAAAATTTTAGTAGACCATCGTAATTATTGTTGCTCATCTTCTGTACTTCGTTCTCGTCCGACTCGTTGGAATACTAAGTTCGTTGCAAGGTTTACCCTTCAAACATCTCACGCACAAGTCTCGCCTCATTACTAGCGCCCATTACGCAGGATTCTCCAAGTACATTACACCACAGCACAGCCAGAACATACCACTACCTCGGGCATCAGATTCGATTCACCGTGCCTCGTCCTTGGATTCGCATGTGGATTGTTACAATCTCATGAGCAACGAACGAACGCAACCAAACACCACCAGCCCACCTCGATTACGAGTCAGACGTCATTCGCTACAATTTGAAACTCTGCAGCAAACACTCTAGCATCATGGTTGACAAATGGGAACCGAGCAATACCATCGAGCTCATAGCCCTTACACTCACCATCCCCGGCGCAGTCGCCGCTCTCGTTACGCTCTGGATCTTGATCGCACGACGCCGAAGGATACATCAAGGTTTTTTCTCCCTGAAATCTGATCGTGTTCTGTTCGTTAATGGCATCATATTTACTGACTTGTGCTAGGGGTCTCCCGACCGGCGCACACCAACACGACACCGCATTCCAATCAAGGTGTTTCGTGCACGCCCTCGCAGGCTGCGAATGCTTCGAGCAGCGCCTACGTCAATCAGTTTCAAGATTACTATCACGATCTCCATCGCGAAGTCACTACCGAGGCGGCGCAATGGGCTGAGGAAATGGCATACTTGACAAGGCGAACTTGAGCAGCGTTTCAAGACGCTGTTTTTTCACATCAATGTCACATTTGACGTTTCACTTCGTATATGATTGCTTTAGCATCATCAGAAGCTATTTCTACTTCCAAAATAATAGTCTATAAGTCGTAGAACATACCGTTGCTTTGAAATAGATTTTGCGTGCATATCCAACA